GAAGGAACGAAGGAACGAAGGAACGAAGGAAGGAAAAAAATTACAACTGCCCTGTATGTCTTCAGAGCACACATACATTCCTTCTAAAATTCACCAGAAGGGATAGTATTTGAAAGTATGGTATGCACTGAGCCAGTAATAACCAAAAAATTTGAGATCATAGGGAGTTTTACCATTTCTCTTTCCTTTCTTAAAATCAATTAAAAACCAGTTTAATTTTGAGAACAAAAATAAAAGATCAGGAAGATGTCTAAGTAGATAATTTATAGATAACTCTTATATTCAGAGTTATCTAATTTGTAGATAACTCTGGATGATGATGCCCTCTAACAGCAAAATGCAAGAAAACAAGATCCTAGAGCTCTTCAAACTGATTTCTTAAAATCTGCTGGAGACATGCCAGGGCCAGGCTTTCTCAGAGGCACTGCAGACTCCATTTGTGCTATATCTGGCTGTACAAATAGCAGTGGCACTACCAGGCTGTAAGACAGAGAAGTGCTTCTCCTCCAGGCTGCCTTGAGAGCCCAGGCAGAGCTGGGGTGCTCTGCAGAAAGAAGAAACTGCCTCTGACATCCTTTGCAGAAACCATCATGGTCCAGTGAAGGAGTGGGGACAGAGACTTACCACTCCCTGTCCAGAGGCTGCTGCCCATCCCAGAGCTGTAGCCAGGCCAGGGACAGAGCCACTGGCTCAGCCAGGGGTGCAGGAGGATATAGAGCAGGAGCCATGTGGGAGGCTGTGGTCCTGCTCCACATGGCTCCTCTGGTTTTGACAGACAGGAATCTGAGTATCAATGTTACACACAGTTGCAAGGATGAGGATGAAAATTGACCGAAAATATCAAAAGGACCAGTATTTCATTAAAGGGAATAGATTTATTGACTGTCTAGACCGAAATTAGTTTTGTACTCACACTTAAAAAGTTTTAATTAAGGTTTACACTCATACCATCTAACCATTCCCAGGTTAGTTTTATGCAAACATTAACCTTGACATTTTGACAACTTTTTTCTTTTCATTTAGTCTCTCATTTAAAGATGTTTTCATTGTCTGTGGTTTAGCGATTCCCTCGGTTCACTTACACAACCAAGACCTCTGAAGAGTGACAGCTCAATGTGCCCAGTGGCAGATCCCAGTACAGCATTTAATTCTCAGCTCAAGCTGAACAGTGGAGCTCTAACTCCGTGGTTCTGCACCAGCATGACACCAGGTTTGCCTGCAGACTTGCACAATGCACTTGCGAGAATAACACGTTGGTGCCTTCACAGCTGGCAGGGCCCTGTGGCCAGCAGAGGGTGTGGGGCCCTCCCACACCTCTTTGCCTCAGCAACATTCCTCTACTGTCCCTCCTGCCATCACATACACATACAAGTCCTGTACCTCGTGGTGCAGTCTCTCTCTCTAGAAGATGCTCCAGCTCCTGCATAGGTGGGGCCCTCAGAAATTCCCAGTATATTCTGCTGCGTGCTGGAACTAAGCTGCGCAGAATGTAAAGATGCTTTGACAGCACCTCATGTTGATTTTGAAAGTCCAAGTTAAGCATTGTTGTATCAGAGAAGTGCCCCAAATCATCTAAGAACTTAGAGCAAGACATACTTAAGTATTTCTGCTCCAGCTTTATGAAGATATTTAGGCAGAAATATGTGCAAATGATGTAGGTTTACAGTGATGCAGGGAGGTGCTATGAAAGTCATGCTGGAATACGGCTCATGTCAATTAAATACCTCTCAGAAGTCGGAGCCTTTAAGTTCCACTGATGTATTTCCTCTCAAGTGCTTTTCTCTGCAAAGCTGTTGTGGTTATTAACTCATTGGAGCTCATGAGGTGCTGAGGCAGGGCATTTGGGTGTTAATGGCAGCACTTTGCTGGATAAGTAAAGAGATAAAGAAGTTTTAAAGTGTCTCTCCTCAGGGAGACAGGAGAACTCATCCACTCTGAAGAAAGGAATAACCCTCAGTTCTGCATCCCTGTACATCTTGCCATAAGACTGCATTATGTTGGGGAATTTCTGTTATAATCCCACTGACAAAATGTGAGAAACTGGTCTTTCAGTTTTGCTGGAAAATGAAGAGGTTTATTGTTTGGAACAACAGAGAAAAAGTGGTAAGATGGCACAATTCAGACCCAGTCCCATGGAAGGCAGGAAATGTTGCTGATAGAAATTGCCAGAGAACAGTAATGACTGTAGAGAAACCAGGAATGTAAATAGTGTAGTTGTGGCCATTGAGGACCAACCTTTCCTGTAAAAGATGCCTGCATGTCCTGCTGTTTCTCTTTCAAATATTGTCCAGCATGTTGTTGACTGGATAAATTGAGTGCGCTCTCTGGTTCCAGTTTTAGGAGAGTTCAACATGAGAGCACAGACTAGGTCACTCTTACTAGAGGTAACTTTCTAACTCAAGTGGGAATCAGAAAATAAGAAAAATGGTGACATTTTTCAAAGTAGGGCTGACGAAAAATGTGAGAGATTCTGCCTCATGTAAGGCCGAGGGGAAAAGAAGGTTGGGACTGCATTTTTAATGTTGTTTGGGAATCTAGGTTCCCAAGACAGGCGATGCACATCCTTATGAGCACGAGGGAACACTGAGGAGAGTGCGTGACCCTGTATCACCGTGTCCCTCCTGGAGACAGTGGCAACTTGTTTATAGCAGGAACACAGTCCCTGTTCCCAGAGCAGGGAAGGGCAATGGGGACCTGAGGAACAAAACAAACACCATTTTAAAAAACCTTTCCTCCTGAATAGCAAATACATCTCTCTGTTTGCATGAAGTGAGCATTTGAAGATTAACTGAGAGGTACCAAATGTGGGATTTTGGTACTGGAATTAGGATTTAGAGAAATCTGGTGAAGCAAGTAGTGCGTAGACCTTGAGGTAAAATAGGCATGGCAATGAAACTGATAAGGGAAACACCCTTGGGAATCCTGGAATAGAAACCCTCATTGATCTCTTCTGGAACTGAGAGAGAAAAATCCACGTCTACAAGTTGATGAGCACTGTGTGAGGGAAAAAAAGTAGATTACATTCAAGTGATAGTCCCAAATCAAAAGGAGTTCAGTAGGAAGAGACGTGTCAAAGTTTTTTTGCCTATAACTGAACTTTACAATCATGGATGTTATTCCCTAAGGATATTGACTGTACTGATCCCAACAATAAACTTAAAACCATCAAAAAACAACCCAGAAAAACATGTTACACTGAGTTATCCATAAATTATTTTCTCTGCCATGCATAAGAAGAAAAAGACTGCCTATAAGCATCTTATTACTTCTGTAGCATCATGAAGTAATACTCTGTGTCAGAAATGTAAATTTTTTTTTTAAAGGACAGTATTTTTTAATTGTTCCAAAGATTATCAGTACTGAATTTCCACTGACAATTTACCTGTTATATATTATCAGTTTATTAATATTATAAAAAATCTAATCTATTTTCTCACATTGGTTTTCTTTTCTCATTTCACCTATATTTAAGTCTACAGTATCTGATTCCCATCTCTGACACAAACTTTATATAAGAACTTGAGTAGAGGGATTAATTTTTTATGCCTCATTTTCCTCCTCGTAAAATACGACTTCTGGGAAGAGAGTTCCCCAACTTTATTCTCCTAATACCTGGAATCTTTATTCTAGTTTACAGGATGGGTGGGATTGTGGTAAGTTTTCATACAGTATCTTTATCTAAATATCTCTGTTAAATGAAATAGTTCTTTTCCTCTCCTGTTAGTTAGTTCCTGAATACCTTACAGACTGCAATTCTCTCCTCTTTCAGTCTGTGTTTTACTGTGCAAGACAAGTTTTCTAGCCTTCTGTCATGGGAAAATATTCGTCTGATCACCTCCATAAGCCCCTTCAAGTCTCTGTTTTGATGTGAGCTCTGGTGTGCAGTATCCAGATGGGATTTGTGTATAAGATGTTCCAGTAAAAAATTTTGCAGAAATGCTTGTCCCCTTAAAAACAGAAGAATGTTTCTGAGCCTGTTCATTTATAAAAATACATCACATACATGTGCTTGTGAGATCCCAAGATCATTCTCTCCTCCACCCACCATCGCACAAGGAAGATCCAGCTGAAAAGTCAGTGTTTTTTGGGGCACAGCCTGTCCAAGTAAAATACAAAATCAAACAATATGGACATTAAAAAAAAAAAAAAAAAAAAAAAAAAAAAAAAAAAAAAAAAAAAAAAAAAAAAAAAAAAAAAAAAAAAAAAAAAAAAAAAAAAAAAAAAAAAAAAAAAAAAAAAAAAAAAGATGTGTGGATTGCTGTGTAGCTGTGGTTTAAAAAGAGCGTTAAGCAAGAAAATGCTTGAAACCACTTGATGGGTTTGCTCTCTCACAGCTGCTGGCTACAAGAACAGCACTCAGTAGAGGAAAAGGAGCCCAAACTTCATAGGGCTGAAGAAATGCCCTTTGATGGCATCCTGGCAGTCACAGGGGTCAGCATATGAAAGGAGGTTGCTGCTGCCAAAGAGGAGACAGGATGAAGGTTCAGCTGGTGTAAAGTGCTGCCCTTCTGCATGCTCAAAGCAGCTGTACTGGGCTGCCCTGTCTATGTGACTGTGTTCTCTGTGAGGGGAGGCCAGAGGTGCATTTCAATGCAATTAATCGGGCAGCATATGATAGTTCTGGTCTGGAGCAAACTCTGGTCTCTAAGAGACAGGTGTGAACCACCTTAATGCTGATGTGATGTGGGGCTGGGATAAAGGGGAAAGATTAGGGACAGAAGTAGTCAGATGGGTGGTTTAGATAGGACTGATTCTCCTGGGATTTAATTGGTGATGGCCTCCATTTACAAAAAGTAACAGCTGTGAATAACGGCACTTAGTCTTCCTTTGTGCAAAATTTTTTCATTAGAAGATATTGTTTAGTGATTGCTGCTTTTGTTTACTTTTTTCTAAAGTTTATTTTACACTTACAGTTCTTGAACTGATCTGTTCTAGACTCTAAGTCTCTAGTATTTTGGCTTCAGATTGAAGCATTTTTTTGTGTCACTCCTTGTTTCTAGTGCCAAGATCACAATCAAAAAGGTCATCAATGAAGATTTGTTCATGCAGCTAAGCAAACTGTTCATGGAGAGAGCTCTAAACGAAACAGGTCAGTTATATATATTTAGTTTTGAGTATACGTCGTTTTCTGACTTAAGAGGAAGGTTCTTTGTGAAATAAGACAAAGAGAAATTTGTTATTTGTGCTTTTTTAAAAGAGTTATTCATGGAAAATACTGTATGGATAAGGTTTTTCCTAAAGTTGCCTAGAAACAAGCTGGATCCAAACCCTATAAAACTTGATAAGAACATAAGATGAATGGGGTCAGGCTCTGGGATATCTTGTCTTTGGTTTCCTCCCAACTTTTGTTTCCTCCAAAAAAAAACCCACCTTCCTTTTTTTTTAAGATTTAAAATGTAGTTCCAAACTGGCTGCTAAAAGTTACCAGTCTTTTAACATGCCTCTGGGCATCTCATTTCTGTTAGAGCAATACTCTTTTTGACTAGGTGTTCATATTTAAGCAGTGGGTCTCTCAGGGTGGCTTTACTATTTTGCAGGATCTTGTGCTTATAGTTTGCAAATGCTTGTGAATATCTCAATTTTTCATAGAAGCTTGTTGGGTTGGAATTTTGCTGCCTGGAAAGGAAGGCTCAGGCGAATGCCAAGAGGTTTCTGCCTTGTGATTGTTGTTTCAGACTCACTGGTGCCTTTCCCTGATCTATATAACTATCTGACAAAAGTAATATTGACAACATGTGTGACTCAAATTCCTGTATTTTCTTAATATCAAGAATGAATGTATTTTTTCTGTCCTCCACATTCTTTATTAGGGTCTGATCCAAAAGGTTCTCACGGGTTTTGGATCAGGCCTACTGGTGAGTTAGGACAAACCATGTTCTGACTCATAGAGTTAATGGAATTAACCTGGGAAAGGTTTTACCCTGTTTTAAAGTCTGTGGTTTAAAGATACTTACTTCTAGCAGGGAGGAAACTGGGCTTGCCTGTTCTTTTAGGAGTGCCTTATTACTTTAAGTCTCAATTCTAATCAGATTGCTCTTCAGTACTTAGATGCATCTTTGTGCTAACATGAAATAAACAAAAAACCCCACTCAGAAACACAGAACAGTATTTTGCTCTGGACCCTACTCTAGATGAAGTTCCTGGGTATCTTGCACTCCCAGCTATCTAATACCAGCATTCTGTATCACAAGAGGAATGTGTCTGACCACAGCTAGAACAAACCCACACTTTGTCCTTGAATATGAAAATTACTCTCCTGTGGCAGTAACTTATATAAGTTGTGTTTCTGGGTTCTCTTTTCATGCCATCAGCTCTTTCTTCTTCCACTAACAGAATAAAGGTCAGAAAATACAGATACTAAACTGTAGCTCTGAATACAAACACTTCAAATTTATTTGTGTGACTTCCTCTTTTGCAGAAAACTTTCCCCACAATGTCAAAATTGAAGCCAAAATCTCTCAGAAAAAAGCAACTATCTAAAGTCTTGGCCCACTGTTCATCTATTTTCCAGGCCAAGCTATTCTTTGCTACTGAATTATTTACTGAGGAGGAGAATCAGTTTTATTCATCAGAGGAGCATTAGAATCCAACAGGACTGTGAATACATATTTAAAATGTTTACTAGTGTGTTTGAGCATATTCATTTAAAGCCTTTAGAGACTATGTTGTTCATTACAACTCCAAATGCAGTTTACCCTCACTGATTTTTAACTTTCCAGACTGTAAGATGCTTGCCTTGGTTTTTTTGTTCTGCCCTGAGTGTGTGGCTTTTTGTTTTGTGCTGAAGGTAACAGAAGTGAGACATTTTTGGTGACTGAGATTCCCTTGTGTGGACAAGGTGTGTGACATTTTAGGTTTGAATTTATCCATGTTGGATGTGGGGGGAATTTCCACTGAGGCAGTGCTCTTTCTGCTGAAGACTACAGTGTTGCGATTGCATTGGTTTTGGAATATTACATTATTATACTTGAGAAGCATTTAATAGCACTACACTGGACATCTTGCTCATTAAATCACTCTCAAAGACGTTCCACTCCTGATACAATCAGAGCTAAACAGCACTAATGCTTCCTCATAACTATTAGCATTTGAAAAACACTTCAAACAGTTCCTTCATGTTTCCTCAAGATTTTCAGAGTCTTCTTTTGGATTACTTCTCCAAATGAAACACAAGGAAATATTTATTAAGCTTTCTGGAAAAGCTCTGGAGGCAGGATTTATTAATAGTGAAACTTCATTACTGATGCTGTTGTTCTCAACTGAGAAACTGTTTTATGCCTCCTTATGTTTTATTTTTACTCTTTAAAAGGTGGCATAGATTGCAAATGCTCATTATCAAAAATCTTTCCCTGGTTCCTGACCCAGCAGGAGACTGAATCCTCTGTGTTTAGGGTTAAAAAGTGAATCTCCTGACCTCTGTAAATAAACTCAGCACTGCTTGTATGAATTAAGGCAAAACAATTTCTGTTGTCTGCTATTCACATATTTCTTCCAAGGCTGCTTCTGATTGTCCAAAACTGACTTTTGCTGTTTAGCATCTTAGAACCAATGCTTCACAAAAGTATTTTCCATCCCATCTGCCCTGACATTTACTTCCCTTCGTCCCAGTACGGCAGTCCATGATCCAGCACTTCCAAGAGCGCGTGATATGACTGATGTTGGGGGTATTTTGATTTTTTTGGGGTGGAAATAGATGGGGTTTGTTATTGCTGGGGTGGTGGAGAGAGCTGCACTTACAGGAAAACTTCTAGATCCCTTTCAGAGCTTTTCTGAACTGCTAACCTTAATTTTACATTCTTAACATAGACTTGAAGCACCTGTGGCTAAAGGGATGCTTTTAGAGATGAACGATGCAAACCTAACTCTTGCTGATGGTCAGAAAATTTAAGTGGCATCTTAAAGGCTGTGGTCTCTGGGGCTCAGGGCTTACTGTGATTGGTAGGGATTAAAGCATTCGTGTGCAACATTCTCTGTGTAAAAGGATAACACGGTCATCAAACATATGGATGTGAAATCCTTTGTTGTACTTTGGCGATCCTAGGTATATAATAGTATTTCAGTACAAATTTCTTATTGTATTTAAATACAGTAAGTAAATCCCACATGAAACTCACTGTTCTGAATGCAAAGCATTTTAAATCAGTGTTTCTAAAACACCGACTCCCAGTGCTCCATCAGCAGTGTGATCTGAGCAGGCTTCCCTTTCCTATAACCTACAAAGAGTGAGGGAGTGAACTGAGACATTATCCTTCAAAAACCCACCTGTATCATCTAGAAAAGAAAAGGGCAACATAATGTGTAATAATATTACAGGGGCATAAGCCAAAGCCTGATCTTCACTTCTGATTTTTTTCCCCACGAAAAACAATAAGTATGTTATTGTTCTTCAGTTACCTTCAAAATACTCTTGACTCTAATGAGTGGCACAGAACCCCTTTAGAAAGTAATGCCTGCAAACCATATGCTGCCTGGTTTTCATTAAAGATACACTTTGATGAATCACCCCCCCCCATGCACACACCTTAAACCAAACCCTTTCTCTTCAGGGTAGGCTGGAAGTATGAGCTTGATGATTGAAGTCACTGTGCCCTGATCAGAGTTCTAGTACAATCACCACACCTCACTATCTAGCTTTTGATAGGAAATTACTTGTTAAACTGAAACATTCTCTTGCCTCCCCAAATGGATAATGGGTTATGGGCAAAATCACAGTTAATGTCTTTGAGAAATTGCTCGTTAGAGTAGCTGGACTTTCATTAAGGAGAGTGATGAGAGGTTTTTTATCTGTATGGGCTACCTGTATTCCAGATCGTTATTCTGTCTTGATGTTTGCTAGCTTGCTAGCTGTCTAACATCAAATTATTATATCTGAGAGCCATAGGGTTAGTTGGAATCCAGAGATTCCTGTGCACCTCCTCTGCTTTGGTGAGGGGATAAGACATCCCTTAGTAATTACCTCTGAAACTGAAAAAGACCAAAGCCTTTATCCCTCACTAATGTCCAGATCTGTTTTGGCTTATTTTTCTCACTTTATCTATATTTAATTTGAATTTTAGAGAAAATGCAGCTTTGCAGCCGTAGAAATCATCCTGAAACAGTTTCTGAACTTTGCCACGAAATTTTGCTGCTCCTTTTTCAGGAACAGCTCTCACCGAAATGCTGCGGTAAAGTCTCCTCTTCCCTGGGCAAATAATTATCTCTCAAAATGTTTTCATGCCGAGTGTGCGCAACAGTAAAGAGAGTTGCGTTAAATGCACAGCGACAAGAAATTCCCTGCCTCTGTATGCTCCTCACAGCTCTGGAAGCCTGGCTCATTGGCAATTCTGATGGGCGCTGTGAGCCCAGCGGGGTCCGTTCGCCCACGCCGGGAGGCTTTAGCCGGGCAGAGCGTTCCAGGAGCCGGCGCTGCGTAGCTGCTCTCTCTGCTTGTTGAGTTGACATGAGACAAGTTATTACCATATAAATGAGATAAGGTCTTAGATAATTGCAGGCTGAAAGCAAAACTGAACTTGACTGCTTGTGGCTGGAAATTTTAAGTGCACCTTTCTATCTCCAATTTTAAATTTCTTTTTTTTTTTTTTTTATTTGGGTGGGGTTTTTTTGTTTGTTTGTTTTTTTTTTTTTTTTTTTTTTTTTTTTTTTTTTTTTTTTTTTT